ATTAAAGTTTGTCGCTTTAACAAAACTATGTTGTAGATTTTTAATCCTTTTCATAGTATTACTTTAGACGTCAAATAATTTTTACTAGTTCTGCAGACAAACCATTTACTTCTGCCATACACTTTCTATATAAGATCCCTAGCCCGTCTGAAGGCTTTTCCTGAGATCAGACTTAGAGGCTTTATTATCATTTTTAATATTGGGCATATAATTTAAGCTATAAAATGTAAACTATTTTCTCCTATAACACAATCTGTATACTATTTGTCTCATTAAATAGCCATTAAAAACTCCAAGACACAAACAGCGGTCACCCATAAAATATTTAAAATAATGGCTTCTATCTTTATATCTGTAATTTTTTATATGCTCACTGATATATATATATATATATTCGTGCGGCATTTCGGAGGGCATTTTAAGTTAGATTATATTCTTCGTGATCACTGGCTTGTAGGCTATCCATATCACTCTCACCAGCCAATTGATTTTTAAATCTCTCGACCCTTTGTAGCAAAAGTGAATTATATTGATTTTTTCCCAAAATACTTACTACTTTTGACTTTTCACGATATACACTTATTCTCAGATAATCTTTTCTCATCCTCAGGCCACCTATCACTAGCTTGGGCCTTTCAGCTGGAAGGTTACGTCCTATTAAACTTGCTGGTTCCTCAGACATTCGCACCATCCTTACTTTGGGTAAGTCAGATGATTCGCCTAAAGTTTCGAGCATGGACACACTCGGTCAATCTTCAGATACTTTTCTGGTCTCTTCCGAAGCTTTTTCACATTCCGCTTCCGTGAGAGCAGTCTGTAGCAAATCGGTCGACCAAGAGCTCGACTGTCTAGGCCGCTTTGCTACAAATGATGCAAATAATACTGAGGCCGATGAGCACAGTAAAGACAGTACTGAGAATTGCGAAGGGCCTGATGAATCTGTTTTGTTAGTTATGAGATCTTCTCGCCCTATATTTTCTCTAGCAAGTAGCGAAAGTGATAACAGCAATTCTAATAACAATGTTCCGTGTGGCAATTCATTGTTTGGCCCCGATCCAGCAATGCCTAATGCTTCCAATTTGCTGACGGCAGGGGCCACGGGCGATGCCTTTAGTGATTGGGTCATCTGTCACGAATGCCGGTCCCGAGTTTCTGTGTGGTCCATGCCGGAACACTCCGATTTCCACTTTGCACAGGGCGTACAAAAGGCCTGGAATGAAGAAAACCGGGATCTTTCTGTGGATATGAAATCTAGGTCGTCGGGACAGCCAAATTCTCTTTTGACGAGTTCCAATATTTGCCGAAAGGGATTAACCACTTTGCCCAGCGGTGATTCTTTGATTGACTTTTCTAGCATGGCAACATCTGGTACCTCGAAATTGATCTCAGTACCCAAGGCGGCTGCCGCAAAAGGCTCTGGCAAAGTCCGAATTTCCGCAAGAG